ATCTGTCGAATGTAACTACATTCAAAAGAAAATTACACCAGATTTTGGTATTTTGGGTAGTATATTTCTTTTCAGTATCTTCTTTTCTATCAGTTTTTCCTATTAGGTACGTATTCGTGTAGACTATCTAATTATTTTATGCGATAAATATAAGATTAAAAGTTCATACAAGGAAAGTTGAAGTAAAAATAAATGGTCCCAAACTAATCCAATGGTGCCAGTTTACGGATATGAATGATTTGCAGCTAATGAATTGGTTGTAATCATAGGCAAAAGTGTTTATTAATTAAACAAAACTCATCAATATAAGCGCACACGAAAACATATTAATTTTGTTCATTAGATCATCATTGATAAAAATAATGAAAATGATAATTTTAAGTTAAGTTAAAAAGCCTTTTCAAATTTTTTCATAATTTTCTTAGGATTATTATCGATATTGTCAAAAAGCAGTATGTTTGCTAAAACCAACATTTTTTTGATAAACTTGTTATACTCGGGAAAAATGAGTGCGAAATTTGCAAGTTTTAGCTCATTAGGGAAATTTGTTGTTAAAATTAATTATGGAAAAATTTTCAATATCGCAGTATACAGCAACTGCAGTATTTACACTGTTTAATATTGAAGAAAAAATAAATTATTGAAGCACATAAAATTAGGAAATAGCGGATCAATAGAAATTACACAAAAAACAAATCCTAACCATTATCAATAATAATAATAATAATAATAATAACCCACATATTTTCGCTAGTCACCGCGTGGTTTAATACTTTTGTGCACAATCCTAGAATATCGGAAGTTTTTTTGTCCTGCGAGGACAAAACTCCTGCAAATTAAAGATTTTGATAATAAAATTAAAAAGTTGGTGACTTAGTTTTTAAAAAGTTTTAATTTTAAACCTTCAAATTACGACTTTTCCTTCTGGTATCATTTGTTATTGCAAAATTGGGATTTGACTTTAGGCAAAGATCTACGCTTTTGACTTGGATTTTTTGTTCTAAGGTTTGAAAAGAACATGTAATTGTTTTAAATATTGCAGGATTGTGGTATCAGCCCATTGATCAGGGTCAGAAAATTCGCTATTTTTGCAGTTCGCGACATGAAAACATTCAGATATATCCAACCATCAGTTATTAATATTTTGAAAAAAAAAAACGCGATAATGAATTTAATTCTTTTTTCGAAGTTATCGCATAGTCGCCGTTGGTTGATCGTTTCTAAACTTTGTTAAGTTTGGGTCAAGAGACATTAATATAAATAATCTGAAAGTGTGGCTGATGGCTGTGTTCCATTCGGACTATTTTTATTCTAAACAAATAATTTTTATATATTCTTATATTCTAAACAAAATTTGTTTTTAATGCAAGTGGCGATATAGATGAAAAGAAGAATGAAAACGTGTATAATTAGATGGCAAAGCTTGAGAACACTGCAACATTTTGAGCCAAAACATTACAAAAAAACTCGAAATATACATTAAAAAATATTTATTTATATTGGACTGGCGAGTCTGTATCAAAACTATCGAATTGCAGATACATACTTTACAGAGATATTCCTATAACTAAATTAAGGCAGTAAATGTATAAAAAAATAATTGCAACTAGCACACATTTGTATAGGGTTTCTCAGTTTAGATAAACATTTTGAATCATCTACGCTTACGCAATTTTTCCTCCAATCTGGCCAACTTAAACAATATGTCCCGACTTTCCACAGCATTTCTGCGATCGTTATAAATGCCACTAATTATGTACTCATATAGACTATTTAGTACATTTGAATGGTCCAGCAGGTTCTCTTGTATCTTTTTAAGGTACATAGTATCGTCTTCGTCGAAAATGCTTTTCAAGTCCAAATGGTTAATATTAATCACTTTGCGATCGCCGGCGTCAAAAACTCGAGTTTTGCAGAAGCGATTCAGTATCCCTGCTTTATCGCTGATTGATTTCAAGAACGTTTCAATTCTGACGATAAATTTGATCATTTTTACTTGACGCTGTTGCTTGCTGGTTTTCTGAATCATGTCCATATCGGTAACAATCAGTCCTACTAAGAGATTGTTCAAAATGATGCTCATGCAAAAAATGAATAGTGCCACAATGATTCTCCCAAAAACGGGGAATTTCGGAGGAGAGCTAATGTCGCCGTCGTATTGGCCAATGAAGTAAACGAGGGTGTCAAATAGCTTGATGAGAACTTCGCCCAGGGCGTTCGTCCAAGAGCTTTCGAGTTTTTCTTCTGACGGCAATAAAATAAGGAAACAGACCGCAAAAGACACAAACTGGATAAAGTAAAAGGCGGCGTATTCGAGGAAGTACTTGGTAGAGCTAAAAATGATCATATACTTGGTAAACTTGGGTAACTGTCCCAACATCAATAGAAATATTACTGTGGAGAAAAGTACAGCTAAAATCATGGCAATTTCGCACGTAGCAAACAGGTTGATGAAAGAGCAGACGATAGTAGATATTTCTAAATAGTTGGACGGGTCAATAAAGTATCTGGGAAAATACAGAATCAATTGCAAGCATTCCTTAAATACCTGCACCAACAAGAGGATCGTGAATATCACCGATATTGCAATACTGGACATTTTCATTTGAAGCATAACGGTGTGCAAGTAAAGAAAAAGTAAAAATGTAGAGTAAAAAATCAGATTTACGTGGAAAAATCTGCGAGTCATCAGCCATTTAGAGTGAATCAAATATATTAGTACCGGATGGTTAAGCAGATCACTTTTCTTTGGATTGTGCACCAGATAATGCAAAACTACAGTCTCAGAGTATTCAGCTCTATCATTGTTTCGGTCATCCATAATTAAACTGTCATAGCAAACATTGCCTTTAGAATCAATACATTGATCCAAATGGGAACTCAGTGTCTCATAAGAAAGCTTATTTATGCGCTGGTTTGGGTCTTGTGTTCGGCTGGATCCAAATTTCAAAACGGCCTTAAAGCATTCTGCGAGTCTTTCGAAACCAGTAGAACTTTGGGTTTTTTGTAGAGCGTTATCCTCGCTGGGAATTGCACCAGTTAGCGAAGCGCCTAGTCGCAGTATCTGGCAGATATAATCCTTGAACTCGTCATTGTGGCTGTTGTTCATCAAATACAAATTCAGAATTTTGTTCAGTATTTGCCTGTTTTGAAACCGTTCGTTTACTTGATTGCCCTGAGCTTCGCTATCAAATTCGCTGATCGTAGGTGCTTTAGATAATCGATTGTGGTAGTCATATGCGGCAATTTTAAGAATTTCCAGTTTGTTTCCGAGCAAGAACAAAACATGCCGCGCGTTGTAGTTGTTAGATTGGAAAAAGTCCTCATTTACATTAGCCAGAACTTCCAAAATATCCGCTTCGCTCACCTGGCTTAACCGATGCTGCAACAGCACCGTCAAAAAAGGGTAATAACTCAATTTGGCCGCCATCTGAAAAACGTTCCGATTTCCGAACAGTTTCGTTTTCTGCTTAACATCAGCACTATTATTCAAAACGTGTTCCACACTTCGTCCGTAGCCTTTCTCGCAGAAGAACTTCAACATGTCCGTTTTCAAAATATCACGGTCCTGCGATCGTTTGGACTTAACATTGCGCTTTTCGTATTCAATGTATCCTTTGATCAAGCACAGTTGTAGCATTGTGAAACCCTCATAGCCATCCACTTCGTTCACGTATTGCTTGATGTTTTCATTGTTGTATCTGAAAATTACTCAGATAGTAAAAGAGGCTGGGGCTAACATTCAATATACCTGAGAAACAACTCTTCATCTTCACTCTTCAGGAACGTGAAAAGAGTTTGAACAGGAGGCACAGCCACGGTATGAGGTGAAAGCATATTCAAGTGAATTTCATTCTCCCTTAACAAATCCCTGGCCGACTTTCTGCTCCTCATATCTTTGCAGGAGTCCAAATCAATGTCTTTCTTCATTAACAGCAGCTGAATTACGCGCAACAGTCTGTACCGGATAGCAATGATTAATGGGGTTTCGTTCCAAATGTTGTTGTGATTTACATCGATTCCTAAAAAAGACCCATCGGAATATGCGTTTAAACTGCAGTTTTTGAGTGGGACCACTCTTGCATACCTGCATCGATCAATAAACGCGCACATTCAACAATTTCATCGTGCTCTTCGGGGATGATGTGGCAGATTCGGCTCTCCCATCCATTAGTAAGTTGTACTGGAAAAGATTCAATCCGCCTACCATACTCCAGAAGCACGTGCAAAGCATTCTCCGAAAATATTGATAGACTATTCAGCTTGTTTCGATCTTGAATAATACCAATGATGGCGTCCAATTTTTTGCAGTCAGTACAATAAGCGGCAAAGTGAAGCGGTCCCCAATAGTACCAGCTCTCGTCCCTTGGTTCCGATTCAAATTCAATTACTTTTTCATACACAAGTCGCAATATCTCAATTGAGGACTTCTCGCAAGCGATACTCAGAATTTTTCTGGTGCCATTTTCCGTTTCAAATTTATGGCTCAACTGAGTCCTCAAGTCGGCTTCTGATGTATTGTTTGGATCCAAAATATCCTCTACTTCTGCTCTATTTCGTCCAATCACAGCGCTTTGAAGTCGTTCCTCTAGCGATTGATCAGCGGCCGCCGCTGGAATGACAATAGTTGGATTTTGATTTTCGTCCACAATTTCCAGCAGTGGAATATTTTCTGTTGCTGAATCAGGTTGGAGGGTAGATGTTTCATTTGTGCGGGCAGTCATTATATCTGCAAAATGGAAGCTCATCATTAGTAATTATCGGTACTTACTTGTATTGGTAGAACCCATTAAATTTAGTACATAAATATATTACTATAATTAGATTGATATTTTTTGCTAGAAAATCCAGCGTGCATCACAGTGATTACCATAAAGTATTTTCCAACGTTGTCGAATAATGTATACACATTATACTTGCAATGCAAACCATACTACTGTTAATTGATAGGCAAAAGTAACGTTCAACGCAACATTTTACCAGTTTCCAAGTGTAAACAGAAATTATGTCGCTCTGTGCTTCGCAGCAGTTTTATTGCACCGTTAACCAATAAAAAGCATTAATGTTCTACATCGTCTTGAATTTACCCGTTTCATATCACTAGAGAAGTACCAAATATGAGATAAGATTGATAACTTGATACATGACACATTTTCACTCAATAAATTCCAGATTAAACAAAACACTTGTTTGCATGCATTGATTTGATTTCATTGGATGATTTCCGTGAAATTTTTTTTTGGTTCATTTTTATTGGCATAGGGTGTCTCAGGAAAATATTTAAATATACCTGAACCCGCAGAAGCTCCGTTCTCGAAATACAGCGCGTGAAACTTTACTTGAAAAAATACATTACAAATCACTGCAAAAAAGTTTACTGAAACTTTGTGGCAGTGAAGGCTCTAAGAAGTGCATATTTTCAATTATTTAATTTTAAAAATTTTTATTAGTGGCGTGCATACCGCCAAGTGATTGGATATTTTTGGAAAAAATAATCGTCCGTCACTGGTTTTCTGAATAATAAAAATACCTGTCAATTGATTGTTTAATACTGAAGAAAAAAGCACTCTTTCATTTTTCTGCCGTGCAATCAACCGTTTTCCGATAAAAAACAGTTTTATGATGAAAATAATCTAGGGACAAGCTGCAAAATAGAGCTTAGAAGGGTCATGGTGTCAATGGCAATAATTTACAGCAACTACTAGAAATAAGTACATCTTAACCCAAACTAAACTGTTTAGTTCTTTGGTTCATAACGTGAAATTTCAGCATTTGAACGGTTGGTCGTACGACATAAACAAAAAATATTTTTCTTCAGAATTGAACTATTAGATAAGATGTGTTTTTATTCTTAAAAAAACCTGTTTTGTACTATTGTTTCTATGTTGTTTTGTTCTTCAAAAATATCTAATAACTTTACAAAATAAAATAATGTAACATTAACAACAGCACTAAGTTTCATTAACATTGATCAAACCGTTTTGCAGACATTTATAATCTTGTATTCTTTAAAGTAAAGTTTGACGCCCGAAAGTTCGCAAACGAAGCTCTTGCGGACCCATGTAAATTTGGATTTTTTCCATATTTGAGCAAAGTCTACTTTTTCCTGAATTCACGCTACTTTTTTTGGAGACACCCTGTATGTCCTAATTATGCTCTTGCAAGTGCTCTATTTTTCAATGAAGCATGAGGATGGCGCGTACACACTTTTACGAATAAAGAAACGTTGTTTGATTTCGATTTCTATACAGTGTGCAAATTCTAACAGAACTGATTTTGACAACATTTCTACATCGATCTATACATTTATGCAGCTATAAAAGTTCAGAGTTTTTAGGAAATCTATTAAATAATTCATTGGTGAGCGCGTATCAAAATCAAGTTAATTTTTCCGTCGCTTTAATGCTGAGAGCAGAATAAATTAATTATAAATCATGACCCGGCTTGAATCTGAATCTGCCATTTGAGGAGGATTAACCCAGCATATCAAGCTTTGAGTTAAAATTTTCAGGAAAATCGAGCAAAAAGCTCAAACTATGCCGTTACACAAAATATTAAGCTCAAAGGAATCAAGAATTCATAAAAAATTGATAAAACGACTGATTCGGTAGCCAGCAGTTCATATATTTAGTTGAAAACAGTGGAATGCGCCCCTTGATCCGATTTGTTTATGTTTCGCTGAGAAAGTTGATTTGTTTACGGCAATCGTCCAAACAAGTTTGATGAACAAAACAAATAGTCCCGTGAGAACTGGCACTTTCTACAAAATCCTTAACAATGCGAACACTAAAATCGAACTGAAGCCGCACGCTATGATTCATGCAAAGGGTGTTCAAGTGAACGATTAAGTAATCATGTAGGTTCCGTGGATAGTAAGTTTTTTCCATAAGGTCTGTGAATATTCAGTGTATTGGAGGTACTGGACGAATTAGGTCGGGAAGTGGTCCTTTGTGTCGAGAGAATCGCGTTCTTTGAGATAAAATATAGAATCATTGTGGAGTGGTAGAGAGTAACGGCAAACTGTATAATTCGGAATGCATTTGCAGTGTGTGATCAAGTTTAGAGTAAACTTTTGAAKATTAATGGGCAGGAAATGGAGGATGGCGCGCCAGCTTTGCRGAAAGCTGGTAAAGAGTTCTAATCTATAAATTTGTTAGTTTGAACTGAGTTTAATGTTTGAAAAGCAACTGGAGTTTCATGCATTTTTTACATTTCTTATTCTACATGGTTTGGGCAGATTTCCTGCAGTACTAAACACGTTTTCTTTTTTTATCTCAGGTGGCACGATGCAGCGCTCRGTAAGTTTGGCATTACTTTGCCCCTGGTTGCCATGTAGATTTTTAGTCCCATATATTGGGACTTGACTTGTGTTTTATTATATAATTGCTTGTTATATTTATTCGACGCAGAACGACGAGGGAGTTTCTGTATTCTGGATTGATTTTTTACTTTTTAAATTGATTTTTCTGAAATTAAATTAATCACATTTTATACATCAACTCAAGTCTTCAAACAGTTTTATCTGAACTTTTTCAGTCTAAATTAAAAATCAGTGTAGTTCTGCCGTGAACTACACTTTCTATAGTCGTGCAAAGTAGTTTGTTTCAATTATCCCTGTTTTGCTGCTGTGAATTACACTCTAAATTGAATGGTTCTTGAACTCTCAGAATTCTCTGCGTTCTTGGTACTGCTCAGATTTACAATTCTTAACTTTTTTCGCTCAGTTTTTGAACTTTCCCCAATAGACTGCTTTAATATGTAAAATAGAGATGTTACTGCAAACACACCTTCAATTTTCTTCAATAGCAAAGAATCAGTTAATAGCCTTTTTTGTGTTAAATTTGGAGTTTTCTTGTACCGAAATTTAATAAAATCCCAGAATCCAGATGCAAGTGCCTAAAGGTAGGTGAATATTTTTTATTACTTTGTGGCGGTCTAACGGATAGCACCTTTAGAGGCGGCGAGTGGTCCGGGCCTCCTAATTTAGATTTTGCGCTATTTTTCCAAATTTCACACACTAAAAAAGTGATTTTTCGCAAATGTTCGCTCTAGGGATTTTCAGCGGCCAGGATCCGTCCGACTATTCCYGTTTTTTTACTCCCCAGCACCCTTCAGGCTGTAAGTGGTCCAGATCAAAATTATAAGCGGACATGCATCTGTTCTTCTAAATTTAAGYCAATAAATGGCATTGAGTACTTGAACTGTGAACCTGTTTTTGAGGAAAAATCTGWGTTTTAGGGAATTTYAGTGATCTGGACCCGGGCAGCGTTTTGCTTTATAGAAGTAGATGGCAACCAKGGTTGTAGTTTTTCTTTGATACTTGATGATTCTTTGATTTCATAGGGCTTTTCGCGGATTTTTTTAAATCAATTCGCTATCAATTCGCAAATCAATTCGAATAATAGCCCAATTATTTTTTGTTTTCTATGTACTTCTCATTTTTTTTCCAGGTTAAACAGGGAACTTTTAAAATGGGTCTATTTACTAATAACAGAGCTTTATCTTATAGCTTTGAACCGTTTATGTTTCAGAATATTTATTGTTTCTTTCTCTAATATTCGCTTTCTTAGGTACCTTATGAATTCAAGTCATCATAAAAAGTCAAGGTCTATTTCTAAATTATATTTAGTTTTTAATTTGGCTGTTTGCTTCTATTTTGAACTATTCATATGGTGTTAAATCCATTACATATTTCGTTCACATGCTATWTTTCAGGTGCTCCCGSTCACTTTTTTTAAATGTGTCTATTTACTAATTAGAGTTTTTCTTACAGCTTTCCAACAGGTCGCGTGAATCGCGTTTTTAAATAAAAAAAAYATAGTGTAAACAGTATAAATACGAGTGCGGTAGTATATTCTGTCTGCATACTGCAGGATTAAAGTTTTTTATTCGAAATGGACTTTCAKTGTGGGTTTAAGTGCCGTCCCGTTTAAGGGCCCTTTTGAGGATTAATGGACAAATAATGGAGGATGGCGCGCCAGCTTGCAGAAAGCTGGTAAGAATTTTTCTGATTTATAATTTATCTAGTTTTAATTTTTCGAAAAGCAATTTTTGAAGGTTTGAAGAAATTTTTACATTTAGAGCGCACGCTTCTCTACTGAATGCACTCGTAGAATTTTTCATTTCTGGACAACTGTGAACTTGTAAAGTTTTTCGCTTGTGTCCCGGGATAAATTTTTCAAATTCTGAGCAATATTTTCTGAACGATTAGTAAATTTCGAATTTTTTACTTTACTTTTTACGACGTTTAGAGCACACTATTTTAACTAGACGCAACACACACAACACCCAACTCTAAACTTGTAGCGTATTTTCTGTTTCTAAGTTTTCCTTTATAACTCATCGCGTCTCACTGTGCCGAACCGCAAATTTCACATCTCAGCATAGATCACTACCGTGCAGGCGTAACCCTGTAGGCGCCAATACTTTAATATAGTCTATAGTAGGGCTCGAAATTTAAAAAAAATCTGATATTCGAATATTCGTTTAGTGGTTTCTTCGAATAGTAAAATTATTCGAATATCTAACGAATATTTGAGTATTTCTATTCATATTCGTTAGATATTCGAGTGCTCGTTTTCCGTTCACCGACATTTGCAGGAGAGTAAATATGATTTTCATTTGCTTGTAAATATATGGGTATTTGTTTAAATGCTTGTAGAATATGAATAATTTATTTTATAAAAGTATACAAAGTGCATATAAAGAT